CCCCCAGCCCCTCCCTGCCCTGCATCCCTCCTCCTTGCTCGGCTCCTTCCCACCAGTGTCGTCCCCTCCCCTTCTCCTCTTTTCTGATCCTTCCCTGGTCCTCTTCCTGATCTCCAGACTTGCTGCCCTGCCCTGCCTGCCCAGAGCACTTCCTCTCTGAGCCTCAAGTCCTGTTCCCTGACCTGGGGAGATTTTGATGCCCAGAGCCGAGCTCCTGACCTCTCAGCCCCACCCTCTCTTCATGGACTTCAGGATCGATTCTCTGCTTCCCTAAGTTTTGTGCTACTCCGTCAGTCGGGTTGACAATTTCACACCCCTCCTCTTCCTCGGCACACCTTCTTCCTTGGAGCTTTTAGGTCTGGCTCTCGCTCTGTCTTGCCTTCCGCTCGTTTTCAGTAGCTGCCTACTAGATGAGAACGGGTTTCTCCCCAGCTTAGCCACCCCCCAATCCTCTTCTCTCACCGCCTTTCCACTCAGGCTCAGAACCGACTTCACCCCCTACCTCCTCCTCCATGCAGCCTAATCCCTGTAAACAGCCCAGCCTGCCACCCAGCCACTGGCCAAGTCTGATGTCAGTGGACAGTTGTCATGGTCTCCTAACTGGTTCCTCCCCATCGTACCCCATGTTTTGTTCTGTGTGACTGGGGGGGTTTCACGCTAATCTGGCATTTCCTTCCCTGGAACTTCGGTACCCCCGTCTGCAGCAGCACTGCCCGTAGAGTAGGCGTCAGCCACCAAGGCAGTTTTAACTTTTCTCATGACCACAGCAAATCAGTAAAAATTAGATGAGAGTAAGATGTTGTCTTATCCAATATGTCCAAAATATTACTTCAAAATACAGTGTAATCAGCTAGTTTTCATGATATTCTAGTCTTCAGCATTCACTGTGTGTGTACACTCGCAGCATACTCACTCAGACCAGTCACGGTTCAAGTGCATGGGCTATGGGATTGGGCAGGCGGGCTTCAAGTCACATCCCAAGCCCTTTAGCCCGGACTTGATGGCCCTGAGTCCCAGTTCACACCTGTAGACCTAATTCCCTGCCCCTGCCCAGGTGCTCCAGCCAGAACAGGGGAGCATTCCTCTCGCCCAGTCTGT